ACACAAACAAAATGGTACCATCAGCAATACGCACTTTTTTCTAACTTGAGGAGGCGTTAAACTCGGAAAATAAATTAGAAGAGCCAGACATATGGTCCGAAACACCAGAATCAATAATCCATGGTATAGTCGTATGAGACAGCAATGCGCATGGGAAGGAAGCCAAGTTACCTGAATTGGCAAAGGAAGAAGAGGGTGCACCTGTAGCAGAAGTGGAGGCTCGACGGTCTAGCAAGTGGTGAAGAGCAATCTCAAAATCCAAGGCAGATAACCCTGATACATCAGCCGCAGAGGACACAACTGGAGATGAAAATGGTGGCTCAACAGTGTCTGAAAGATGGGCTTGTGCATTGGCCCCTCAGCCTCTAGGACCAGACCAACCCCCTCGAGTACCAGGACGGTCGCCTCAGCCACCAGAGGGAGTTCCATGTAGCTTCCAACAAGTCTCGCGTGTGTGACAAGTTCGACGACAACAATCACAGTAAAGATTATCCTCCTTAGAGAAAGGACGAGAATCACGAGTCACACGGTCGCCATAACGAGAGGGTGCAAAAACCAAGGCCGAGTGATCAGTGGGAGCAAAAGAAAGCATCACAGAACGGCCACTCTCTTCATTCTGTACAAAAACAAAGGCTTCCTGAAGAGAAGGAAGCATATCCATGCCAAGTACTCTACTCCGAACCAGATCATACTCTGCATTTAGGCCTTCCAAGAACTTGAAGAGCCGCTCTTATGCCACAAACTTTCGGTAACCAGCAGAATCAGTGGGACAAACAAGCTTGTAATCCTGAAGGTGATCAAACCGCTTAAGGAAGGTAAAATACTGGAGAATAGTCTGCTTACCTTGTACCGACCTTTCAATGGAGCGATGTAACTCAAAAGCCTGTAAGAAGTTCCCCTTCCTCGAGTAAGTAGTGGTTACGACCTCCCAAATATCCTGGACAGTGTCCATAGACAAGTAGCCCTTTCCAATCTCGGAAACCATAGAATGGATCAACCAGCCCATAATCAGAGAATTGGTGATCTCTCACTGGTCATAATGAGGGCCGGTGATATTGGGTGCCTGAACCCGCCCCTCAACATATCCTATCTTCCCCTTGCTCTTCAAGAAAATAGTCAGACTCTGCAATCATGCTAGGTAATTCTGACCATTAAATAGAGAGGTGTTGATTCTAAGACCAGTGTGAAGGTTATCAGTCATAGTGGAAGGGATACCAGAACTCTCGCCCTGAAATGGCTAAGAGGTAGTAGCTTCACTACTCAAATCCGCCATAGAGCCTAAAACATAATGTCAATCACAAACCCGGAAGATGAGAGTGGAGTAACAAGCACAATAGGAACTATAAAAGCATAAAGTTTTTTTTTTTTAACTGCATATTTTTTTTCTTCTTTAACTGCATATTTTTTATTTTATTTTATTTTTTTTTTTTTTACGACAAGAAAACGAAGACAAAGAAAGGACTTTACACGTATATGTACATGTGTGAGGCTAGCCAACCACCCAGGGAGCACCGAAGGCTCTAGTCGACCACCTAGGAAGCCACGAAGGCTCTAGTCGACCACCCAGGAAGCGACGATGACACTAGTCGAACAGGCTAGGGCTGCCGACTGGCCTGGGCAGTCCTGCGGTGGAGGAAGGAGGCTATCAACAGACCCCTAGAAGGCCAAAGGGGCTCCCGATTAGGCCTGAGGGGCTGTCGGGAGGCACAGGGAGGCTGCCGATGGACTGGACAAGAGTGTTGGAGGTTTGGATTGACTGTAGGAGGGCCTGGGTGAGAGGCTACAATAGTCGACTGAGAAAGGTGACTGCAGACAGAGGTATGGGCTAGGGTTTTGGCTCTGATACCATTTAGTTTTAGATAAGAGAAAGAGTTAGAAAATGAGTTAGACTTCATTCCCTTTTATATTGACAATTGAGCAATTACAAGCATAATTCTGAGCAACCAAAAAGGAAAAAATAAGCATCCAATCAATTATTTCCTATTCTAACAATCTAACAATTTCCTATTCTAACACGTTACACATGTGAATTTTCGTCACACCGCTATAGCGGCCATAATGGGTGGCGATAACCACCATAACCGTTACGTAACGGCATTATATAATAGTTGCAGCCGCTTTGTAAAACCTTGCTTATGAGCCATAGACTATGCAAATACTTAGGCACAATTGCCTTCCAAATCTATCTTTTCAAAAAGGGGTTACATTTGGATTGTCAATTATATGAATTGCCATCCAAATCCATCTTTTGAGGGAGAAAAAAGGGTTACAATTGGATTGTCATTAATCATATCAAATAATGACTTAAAGAATAACATCAAACAATGAATAGTCCACAATCTTTTATCAATAACATTAGGCCTCAAAGAAGCATCCTTGAGAATAGACAATAAACAGGTCAATTCAATAGTTTCCAAATCATTAAGGTTTTCGAAGAAATTGACATTTCAAGCATTGGCCATGAAAAGCAGCCATAGAAGCAATACATGAATTATTAGAGCACGCCAAATGATACAAGCAAGAAAACAGAAGATCAAATGAAGTTTCTAACTTCTATACATCCTCCTAAAACAAGACCCTTTCGCCATTACCCACAAATAAACAAGTATCTTGGACCATTAATCACATAAGAATCCCAACCATTAGCTTGAACCCCATACTTGCTCTTTATAACAGAGTGCTATAAAGATTCACGTTTCAAAGGAAATCTCCCAAAACCATTGACCATAGTCATCGCCAATCCTACACTCACTCTTCCCAACATAACCCCATCAACCACTACCCTCTGCTCCCCCAAAAAATAGTAATTGAAAGCCCTTGCATATCTAAAGAATAAACCGTTGAATCATTGTGATTGTCCTGGTCCAAACAAGGAATCAACCCAAGTCCACAATCATGGAGCTTCGAACACATGGCCCAACCAAGTGATTGGGCTAATCAACCGAACTGGCCATGGAACAACCCGAAGCTCCCCACCCAATAATTTCATCCCCTTTCTTTGTCATCTCCCCTTGATACAAAGATATCCCTTTGATCAACCTCGAAGGCTAGAACCAAAAATCCCTTCTATTGGGAAACCTGTCTCCAAACGAACTTGTAAACCTTCCGTCCTGTCTGCCCATACACCTTTCACCCTCCTTTGCTCCTTATAGCCCAAAACCAACATCGAACCCATCCAAATTAGATTATTGCATCCCACTCTCTATCATCACATACATTTGCTCTAATGTTCTCGAATGATGTATCCTTCCCCTTTTGCAAATCAGCGTTCTACCCTTTAAAAGATACTAACCCTCACTCTAATGAGTAAAAGAAAATGGTATAAGACTTGGGTCATTCAAGTGGGTTGTTTTCTTGAAAGTGATTTGGAATAATCTTGGCTTGAATGAGCCATCTCACCAAAAAGGGCGTTCAAAACCAAAGGCTTAGTTGAGTGCTCCTCCCCAAAAGTCAAAGGGCTTGTGGGTTAGACTAAACGAGAGACGTAATTCATAACGTATTTATGTAGTTTAGGCCTTGATTCCATTGAACCATGCACTGAATACCTGACTTGAAAAAACGATGCGACGCAAGATGTTGCTTTCTAAAACCATGACATCTTGTCAACCACGACCTCACTCTCATGCACATTTGCTCCCCACTAAAGACAAGGGACAATCATGTCGACAAATATATCATCCCTACCAAGACCATCAAGAGAACTCGGAGATCTGCATGCACCACTTTCGTCATTGTCTCCCTCAACCCTGAGAATTTCACCACCTCTCCACCATGAGACGTAAGCATCGTCGGCCCCTTCATACCACTCACGTCTATCTTGCCAAAATCCTTAACAAATCCATATCGGAACATAAAACCATCAATCCACTCCTTGACCACTTGAACGTCCTTGATCAGAGCATTGAAACCCTTAAATTTCCTTACCAAACCCTAGAAATTTCAAATTACTATACCATCAAAAATGGTTCCACTACCCTAACACCCTCATCTATCCTACCTCACTAATTCAAAATAAACAATTCCTGAGGCCAAGCCAAGACCTCTGCCTCCTAATCAAAAGCCTTCAACTGAAACACCTTTTTCCCACGATCAACGAAAGCAAATTCCCTCAACACCGCTGCAGCACATATCCACTGACCGCCATACCCTTATTCAAAGATAACACAACTTTTCTCTCCTATTTTGATGACCAACTCTTACCTTCAAAAATCTTCCTTCCCATTTTGTTTTGAAGGCTAAAAGATTACAACAATCTGCTCCCACCCTGAGAAACCGAGACTGCCCGAAAAAATCCTTGTTGAACTTGAGATGCCTCTCTTATCTTTATGCCCAACAACCAGTCTCAAACCCTAGCAAGGTGAGAGATCTTTGGAATCCTTTCCTTGACTCCATCATGAGCACCTGATTCCCATTCTCACCATTTCCAAATGAACTCAAACATCTCCAAACCTAAATGAACAAACCTCCTCATCTCGCCTCAACAAAGAATTTTTTTAATTTCCCTTTCATCTTCTTCAGCTTCTCTGAAATAATCAAAATGGAACCCAAAATCGAAACCCTAAAACTACAAGGAACAAGAAACACTAGTAGAACAAAGAAGAACCAAAAGAAAAGAACGGAATTGACGAACAAACCACTTAAAAACTGCAATCAACGGGAACCAAAACTAGATCTAAGCAAATCAAAACCCAAAGAAAGTGAGTGCCAGATCAAAATATGACTTGAAAAAACTGAAAGAAGCCCAAAGGGGCTCTGATCAAAACCATAAACTGAACACATGAGAGAAAATGATAACTACATTGCCTTTCTAGTTACTTAGGATTCTAACCTTAGTGCCATGGTTAGCACCATCTAATCATGTTTCAAAGAGATACAGGGAATCATACACATTGCCTTAGAAAATAAGTATGCCTCACATATTGGGCACAATGCTATATTTAGAAAACTCATAATCTCAAAATAAACATAAATGCCTACTCTGAGAACAAAATGAACAATACCCTTTAAGTTAACAGGAGAAGCAGTCATTCCAAAAACTGATGGCCTATTCTCCTTAGGTGTTGTGTGATAGAACTCAGACATCACTAGAGAATATGGGTGTTTCTTCACAGCATGATGGCATTCATCCAGAATAAGTAGATTGATAGCTTCCATCTTTATTATGCTGTGTCTCAGAATGTTCAAAAGTATTTGAGCTGTCATCACTAAAACCTGCAGCAGAAGCAAAGGGTTGCCATGAGTAGAGAGTAAAAACTATCCTATGATTAGTGATAATTAAGTACTAACTATAAGCACTCATTCACAAAGCAACCTTCTGCGACTAATTGCAGCAACCTTCTTTTTACTTTTTTAATTAAACATGGCAACCTTATTCACTTGAATTACGATGAAATCCCATAAGTAATGATAATACAACTTTGAGTTGACACATATTTTAACATTCAGTTACATTTTTACATATACAATACATTGCAGGCTGCAAGCTCTGTTGCCAATGCAGTTAAATCATTAAGTTTTCCACCCATATTTTTAACTTGACTGTAAAATCAAGAAACAAAAACCAATTACCCGCAACATGACAAAATTGAACTAATACTTAATAGGAGTTGTTGTACTGTGACCAAATCCAAAAGTAAACAGATCAACATAAATAACGTAGCCCCAAAGCAATCGCATTATACCAGCTGTGAACACCTCTAGAATAGTTTTCTAACAAATTTCAGGAAAGTAACCTACTAAACAATGCAAAGTGTACTTGTTAACATATATAAACTATGTTACAATGTCATTTGTCTCGAAATTTATTGATTATGATCACACATACATAGAGTGGTACACAAATGAAATTAATTAATCACCTACAAAGCATGGACACAAACAAGCACGCAATACGAACAAGCTGACAAGAAATTTTTCAGTCAAAGATCATTTGAAGATAATAATAAATAAATACAACATAATAGTAATTCCTAAAGTTTAAAGGAGGAGCTATATTGTTTATTGGATCCCACATCGTTTTGTTCAAACTTGTAATGTAGCCCCATGTGTCTAAACAATGGACACATATCCCCCAAGTGTCTAAAGCGTGTTCAAGTCTAAATTTTTTTTTAAAATAATATGTCATGTTCGGACATGCATGCAACATGTGTTGGGAAGTGTCCGATGAGTGTCAGTGTATGACACGACTTCAACACTGACATGCCACCTTCTTAGAAGTGTTTGTGCTTCTTAATTAATCACGCTAGCCAACCAAACAATGACAAGTGTCATGGTTGCCTCAATGCCTTCCCAATCAAGATAATGTTTATGATCTAAGGGTCATACGCTCTTCACAGTATGCATCTAATTATTATTCAAGTCACACCCACTACACGTTGGTAGGAATTGGGCATCTATGTTACAAAACCCTTCATTGTTGGCACTGACAATAAATAATTGGTTCTTCATTTCGAGTTGCTAAAGAATTTATACATAATTTGTATGATGAATTAATCATATATGTCAAGTTCAAGGGTATATAATGTTAGTGTCTCATTACAGTTTCGACCATTGACAATACCATTTATACTTACAGTTGAAAATTGGCATGCTAACTCCTAAAAGCCATGATGTATTGCATTCCATAGTGGTTCAAATATATTTATCTTCTCCATTTCATAGTGGTTCATATGAATAAAAGAAGAAAATAAAGATTACGTTAGGTTTATCTTGACAATAACACTTCTGCTTTATTTTAGTGTCCATTGAGGCCTAAGAAACACGAACACTTTTAAGAAGGTAATGTGTTGTGTTCGACACCGACATGACACAGCACTAGTCGGACACTTCTGCACACTTAGACACACATAAGACACATTACAAATTTAAATAAAATAACTTAGAATCCAATGATAAAACAAAATTAATGTAAATTTATACTTATTCTCGTCCTTTGTGCTTCCAAAATTATTATATGACTTAAATATTGATATATATGACATATAATAATTATTTATCCTTATATGTGTCATATAATAAATATATAAAATTATATATTTTGCACGTGTCGTGTCTTACATTTTTTGAAATTTTCCATATCGGTGTGTCAGTGTCGTGTCAGTATTTGTGCTTCTTAGATTGGGGCTTTGGTGCGTGTATTGGTTGGGGATTGGTGATGTGGAATTTGAGGGGCTTCCAACTACTTGAGTGCAACTGCTTAAAATAGTTCATCCAACAGAACTTCCCTCAAATCTCGTGTACTACGGCTCTATCACCAGTATAGGGAGGGGGAATTGCAAACAAAACAAAACCAACATAGCATTGGATTTTGGTATCATAAAGATGAAATTCAATGATCTTTTGTCACTGAAATGCAAAACCATTAATGTACCAAACAAAATGTATGCTTTGGTATAACATGTGCAGATCTAAGCAAACAATATTTCAGAAGTTATGTTAGAACATCATAACTTCATAAATGCAAACATAAATGTCAATAACAGTTGCCCAGTGTCACAACTTCGCAATTGCAACCAGAGAGCATATACGTATATATGCATAGCATTAATCATTAGAATATTTTATATAGATATAACTTTAGGGGACTTGCGTGTAGGTCCTAATAGGTAGACTTATTGTCCAATAGATCCAGTAAGCATTAATGGCATTTTTCGTTAAACACTATTAAAAAATGTCACTAATTGTTAATTTTCAATGACAGTTTGAAAATTGTGTCACAAAAAATATCATTAATTACAAGTTTTAGTGACAGTTTAAAAAAAATCATCATAATATTTTTAACTTTTAGCAATAGTTTGAAAAATTCGTCACAGAAAAATGTCACTAATTGTAAGTTTTAGCGGCAATTTATAACAACCGTGACAAAAAAAGAGTCGCTCATTTCAATTTTTAGCGACATATGCAAAAAAATTGTCACAAAAAATTATTATTATCGACGATTTTATTAGGACTTATTTTCAATAGAACTTTATGAGAATTAAGTTCTACTATTAGGACCTATTGGTAATATACCCTATAACTATGACTCTACTACTGGTGGGACTGTAATCTTGGTCAAATTTGAGGCTTACTACTAAATCAAGTTTCAAAGATGAAGAATTAGTTAGTCATTACATGTGTGTATAATGATATAATTAATGAATAAGGTAATCTTAGATACAACATTTATTTTATTTTTTTTTTTAAATTAAAAACAACAACAACAAAGGAAAACAAAGGGAAGTAACCAAGCATAGTTTTCAATGATCTCATTTCCAGTGTAAACAATAATTTTTTACTTTGAAACATTACCAGGGATAAAAGAAGAAAAGGCATATCACAAAATAAGGAAGAACCATAATGGGTTTCTTCAACACAAAATCCTATGATCAACAAAGGATGCTAGAAATATGAATTATCAATAATAGGCCATGTTTGTTTGGACGGACTGGATAAAGGAGAATTGCAATCGTAGGTTGTTTTGCTTCCTTAGCCACAAGGTGAGCAACATGCCCAGAATTATGTGTAAAATAATGAGGAAAAAGATGTTAAATAGTAGAGGGTCAAAATGTCATTTTACTATCTAATCCCATAGGAATAGTTCTCCTGTATTTTAGTCTGCTGTAAAATTTATGCACCAAACAATGGACTATTCTATACTCCGGACATGGAGTCCTATCGCATGGGTGAATCCCACCAAACAAACACCCCCATATGGAGTTGCTAGAGACATAATCTAAGTTATCAAATAACTGTCATGATAATGAGCAGATAAGGTAGGCCAACTTAAAATAATATGCCTTTATCGGTAACAATGAATCAATGATCAAGTCTATCAAGTGGCTTTCAATGCATGTGTTGCTTAATCGTATTATTTAACTGCAATACTCATCAAAAAACAAAAAAGATGATTTAACCACAATACAATGATTGTACCAGTCCTTCGGATAGATAATAATAAACAACAAGATATAAATAGATACATCTAGAAGACAAGGACAACTATAAGCACAAACACTAGAGCTACCTGCTTTGTTTCAAACTCACGCTGCCACCTCCGAGCATCCCAGAAATCTTGGCCCATTTCACCACAGTAATGGCCTACTTGATAACCAGTTTGCTCACGAATAACTTCTGCTTGCTGTATATTGGACAAGAAGACAACAGCATTATTTCAGTTTGCAGATGATGGGCATCACCCAGGGGTTACAATGTTAAGCATATAGTTAGTAAAATATGGGACAACAAAAGAAAATACATTGTATGCACTGGTTTAATACAACGATTCACTGAAAAGTATGATGAAAATTTCCGTACAATAAAACAATAACAGAAAAATAAATATTTATGTAGAGATACGTATAGTACAAATATTGGTAAAAAATTCATTCAAAACAAGAAATGTGGCGACATCTATAAGCAATTTCTTTTGACACAATACAATGATCACTGTTTTATCATACTTTCGATAATTCCTAAGATAAATTATCAAGAAACAACCAAATTTTTGTGGTAGGTACACAAATTCAACTTTCTTTTAATTGAATTCTTACAAGTATTGATAGAAGAAGGCTAAATTTGTCTGTCTTCGATTATCATATCTCAAGTTCTCAACAATGAACATATAACTCTAGAAAACCATGCTTAGTCATTTAGCCAAATCAACTAAACAAATCTCATAAAAACAAAAATACATAAAAAATTAGTAGTGATGAGTCTGATGACAAAGTCTTTACAGATATTGCCTTTCTTGCAAAATGTGAGCTCCAGAGAGCTAAAAGGCTCCTGATTATGTTATTGTAGTCATATATTATCAAGAGAGTCAACCATTTAGTTGAGACTGTACAGAGCAAGAAAGGCATTGTGTTAACCATTTAACAGAAGTACCACACAGTTCAATTCAAACAATTTTCAGAAGGTTTCAGATATACAGGGAAAGCAGGAGTTTCTTTCATTTATATATGTGGAGTTATTTACCAAGCCTGTGTTCTTTAAAAAATTATTCCCTGAATACAAGTTGTTTTGAACTTATTTCTAAAACATACATTTCTTGAAGTCTTGTTTCTACAAAACACAAAACCTGAAAACTTTTTCAAGTCATGCTTTGAAAATACAATTTCACTCGAGTGCTTTCGAAACATGACTTCAAGCCTGAAGTCGCAAAACAACATGAGTTTAGGAAGTAAATTCAAAAAATATGGGTTTGAGAAATATGTTTTCAAACAACATGGATTTGATTTTAAAAATAAAATAAAATAACACCTCTATATATGTGCATATATAAATGAATTCAATGGCAGACAGAGGGAGTAGCAAGTCAAAAACACTTTATAATTCTGATATAACCGTATCCTAGAGGGTGTTTTGCCTCTTTCCCCTTTACCCTCCACATATTTCTACATTTTATTTGGTGCTTTCATGTAATTGAACCTCAATTAATCAAGTAACATTAAAGTGGATGTTACATAACTTTACAGTACATCATATTAATATCAAATCTAATAATTGTGATAGCTACTAAGAGCTTGTTTGGGGTGTCCTATATAAGCACACTTTTTATCTTTTTATCTTTTTTAGGTTACATCACCTCTTTACTTTTATGTATATCTTTTCGTAAAAAGTCAAAAAGTGCACTTATTACTGCAGATACCACTACAAACCATTTAATTCAACAAGTTAAAAACTTCAACTGTTTAGCAATTAATAACTAAGATAATAATTAATGCTATGCCATATGATTTATTTAAATTTCTACCTCTGTAATTAAAAATTGGAGTCGCGGAAAAAAATATACTTGCAGTTATGTCTATTTTAAATTAACTGTTGTAAAAAAAATTTAAAAATTAAAATAAAGCTCCAATGCACTAAGCTTCTCAAACAAACATTATAATATTTCTTTTGTTCATAGAAATTGACATTTAAATCACAAATAAGAAGTATTTATTTAATCTCGCTTCCAAGAAAAATTTCTCTGTATCCACCACTATACAGTTATGACACAAGTTATATATGTGTATACCGACTATATGATATAAGTATTTATTGTGGTAAAGTATAACACAATCAGCGAGAAGTCTTACCTGATAAACAAGAGGAACTTTAGGAACCAAAAAAACAGCCAGCATTCTCCTGTTTTGCATTTGCAAGTCACTGCAAACACTTTTTATGAGGAGGACAGCAATGAGGGTCTTCCCTGCCCCTGTTTCAAGAAAAGCTATTGTATTTTTCTGCTTAGCCTGTTCGAGAACATCCAACTGGTATTGACGTGCCTGTTCCTCGGGATGTTTCTCCTTAGCCTCTTCAGGTTTCTTCTCCACCTTCACAATGCAATCCTGGTTTCTCTCAGAGGGTGCCTTCCCCTCTCTGTTTCTTTCAGATTCCCAAGTACCCAAGTGGAAAACCATCTCATTTGAACCAGGGCGCTCTCTCTCCCAAAAACCCTTGCTTTCCCTCCAATCCCTATCTCTACAGTCCCTCTTACCACTGCCACAGCGTTCTCTTCTCCTGATCTGATCTCTCTCCCTCCTGTCAATATCCTCCCAATCGCGAGGCCTCTTCCTACCTGAAGGTCTCTCCCTCTCCTTAGGGCGGTATTGCCCTCTGTTCTGAAAGCACCTTTCAGTCTTGTAATTGTAGTCATTAACGCGAGGTCTTTTGTTGTACCTTCCTTCACTAACTTCATCGTCCCGGTCCCTATAAAGATCAGTGCCCCGAGTTTCAAGCCTGCGGACTCCATTTCTTTCAGGAGAATGGTTCGATGATTTCTTGCCATTGCTATTGGTTACACGATGCTTGCAAGTCTCAGTGGCAGCATCGCTGTCACTAGGCCCTCCATTGTCATTCTTGTTAGCATCATCAAATTTGCTCAGTAAGCCATTAGAGTAATTGGTATTTTGACATGCCCCAATTGAGTCCTCAAGGACTTCCATCTTGCAAAGCACGGCCTGCTTGTCCCCATTCCCTACACTGGCCGGTCCAACGGGAACGCAATGGCGGATTACTGCACTGTCATTGTCATCGGTCGGCATGGCCGGTCCAACGGGAACGCAATGGCGGATTACTGCACTGTCATTGTCACCGTTGCCGTTGAGGGCCAGAGGTAGACCATCACCATTCTTGATGCTGTCAAGAATCTGATCGATTCCTCCAAAGAAACAAGGATCTGGCCCAGCCTCCGGATTGGAAATACCATCGGCAGCCTCCGAAATGGCAGCAGCATCCAAATCAACAAAATCGTCAATAAAATGGCAGGGGATATCCTCACAAGCATCCAGCCAGTAAGAGGGCCCCCGTACATCTTCCTTCTCCTTCTCCTTCTCCGGAGGATTAAGACTTCCTGAAACCCTAGCCTCATCGTCCATTACTTACTACTCTTTATTAATTTACTATGATAACACACTAATTCAACAACAGAAACAAGAACAATAGACGCCAAATCACAATTATACAGATTAAATATTGCAGCATTGAAAAAAATAAATAACTGACAGGCAGACGAGTAGTTTATTAAGTTAAGAGAACAGGAGGGCTGCGAAAAGAAAGGCACTGGATTGAGTCGGCGGCGGTGGCAGTGGAGGTCGCGGTACCGTGGGTGGGCGAGCGAGCGAGCGATGTTTGCTGAAACAAACTGCAGTACAGCCGGACTGAACACTTTCTGTGGAAGGTAAGTTAATATCTATCTTTAGAGATACAGGGGTGGAGTTTGCAGATTAGCGTGGGATAGACCGTACGAAGCACGCGAATAGTTTAGCCCACAGAACCAACTTGTGTGATTCAAAGATTCCACGCACGATCTATCAAACGCGATTCTGCCCTCTTCGCCCCCACCAAAACCCCCGCCCCAAAACTAGAAGCCCTCAACTCTCTCCCTCTCTCTCTCCAAGTAAACAAACAAACTCTCAATTCTCCCCCCTTTCCTTTTTCCAGTTTAAACCCTCCGCCACCGTTGAGCTTCTCTCCCCTCCCCTCCCCTCCCCTCTGACGATGCTTTCGGATCCTCTGGAGGGATTTTTCCTGGGGGTGATGCTGCAGTGCACAAAACCACGTCGTTTTGTTCACTGCTTAACCCATTAAAATAACAAAAGAAAGAGAAAAGTAGCCGCACAAATGTTTACAATAGGTTTGGATTGAATGATTTGGGTAGAAAAAAAAAAAAGAAATAAAATGATATATATTTCTCTTATTTATTTAAATAATTTAAATAGAGAGAAATGGAGAGGAACGGAGAGAAATTTATCTTTCTTATAATTCTCATTTTTAATTTTCTCAAAAGTAGAGATATTAGGAGAGAAAAGAAACTAACAGATTCTTATATTTTTATAATACCAATTTTATTCTTATAAAAATAAAAGAAATAAAATGATTGACACCCATGTCTTCAAGGCTTTTCATATCCAGCACAACGTTTTTTACTCTCCACTTCTCCAGCTCTCTCTCCGCTTTCTTCGTGCTATTTGCTTGATTGGTCTTAGGATGTTGTGGACCTTTTATTCCCCCACAAATGTATTGAGTCACTTTGCACTAGAGGTCTTCACGAAGCCAACCTGTAATAACAAAAAAATATTGGTCATGCATTTATTGGATTTTTTTTGTCATGATATCAGAAGTTTTGAATCATTAAGGTGATACACCTATGAAAAAATATGGAAAAAAAAAATAGTCATGACAGGTAAACTTTGAAATTTTTGAAATATATTTGGTGAAAAATAAAGACTAATGATTAGACTATTTCATATTAGATTAAACTTTTAACTAAAATTTTTCTCAAAATTGAATAAAAAAAATAAAAATAAATAAAAAAAAAGAACTGAAGATTGGAGATGCTCTTATATAGTGACAAAATATAAAAGGGTTATTTTGGTAATATAACATAAAACAATTTTTTTTCTTTTCTCTTATGAAATCTAACCAAACAAGAAGGAGAAAAATCACAATCATTTCTTTTATTTTACTTCTTACTTATCCAAACAAGAATGAGAGAAATCACAATCATTTTTCTTCTTTTCTTTTCTTTTCTTTTATAATGCTAACATTGAATAAAAAAAATAAAAATAAATAAAAAAAAAGAACTGAAGATTGGAGATGCTCTTATATAGTGACAAAATATAAAAGGGTTATTTTGGTAATATAACATAAAACAATTTTTTTTCTTTTCTCTTATGAAATCTAACCAAACAAGAAGGAGAAAAATCACAATCATTTCTTTTATTTTACTTCTTACTTATCCAAACAAGAATGAGAGAAATCACAATCATTTTTCTTCTCTTCCTTTCTTTTCTTTTATAATGCTAACGGGTTCAACACAAAGAGATAGAGAAAGAAGTGAAAAATAGAAGACGAAGGAGGGAAGACGCCAACGGCGACCACCGTGGCCGCCATTGTGACGTTCGCGAAGAGTAAGGGAGACGCAGCAGCAACATTGCCACCACTATCCACCTGCGGCGAATTCTCTCAGTCAATGTTGTCCGCCAGAGCAAAACGAAGAGGGAGAAAAAGAAATCTTTTGAGAAGAATGATAGTCCTCAACCATTGTTGTCCACTGGAGCTCTTACGCCATAGATTAAACGAGGTCCATCCTCTAAACTCGCTATTGAAAGAATGCAAGTAAGTTGAGAAGTTGAATTTTTGATTAAAAAAATAGGATTTTGAAATTAAAAATTAAGGTTTTGGTTGGGGTTTTCAAAAATTAAGGTTTTGATTGTTGGAAAAATGGTTTTTAAACCATGATTTTTGTTCAACTTTAAGCCTAATTTGAGATGGGATTCGGATCCGGATTGAGGCGTATTCAGGTGGAAATGTGATCTATGTAGGGTGGTGATTCACATCGTATATTTGGTTGATCAAAACAATCTTCCAAGTGAATGCGAAATTAATTCCGAAGGAGGCGTCGGCAAAACGGTATTTGAACGAATTCAAAATCGAATTCATCTCTGATTTCTTTCAGAAACTCCAAAGCCTTCAATGAAAAATTCAATAATTGTGATTTGGTCTCTCTCTTCTTCTTGAGAATTCCAGATGCAGGTGTGATTTGGTGTAGGCTAAATTCTTCGCAGGACACCACGTTTCTCATGACGTTGCTCACCATGTTTCTCATGGACGGCCGAAATTAGAACAACATTTGAGGTTGTTAACACGTTCCTCACACCACCACCTCAATCCTATATATCTCTCCTCATTCTTAGTTGTTGGTGGAAGAAATTCGAATCGAATTACAATCACAATTAGAGTCAAAGTTGCATCGAAATTTTTTAGAATTTCATTACTCTGTTTTTTTTTTTTCATCTTTATTCAATTATGTTTCTTTGAGTGTGAGAGAGTGCAACACAAGTTTGATTCGCCATATTTGGGATCGTTGTGCTCCGGTTTTGGATTCTAGTCATTATATCTTGGGAGGTTGACGCCGATAACCTGAGCACCACGGTAGGCCGAATTAAACCTTAAGGAAATTGTATCCAACACAATCCTTGACTAATTTTGGTATTGCATGTTGGTATTGTATTATTTTGTGATTACAATTTCCAGTTTAATTTCCCAACATTGATTCCTTGAATGTGAATCGGGTTAAAAATTGGGTCTTTAATTCCTTGAATGTGAATTGGGTTAAAATGGAAGTCGATGTGGTTGTTGACTCCAATGCTGTGTTTAGTTAAGGGATTTGGAAGGGATTTCTAAAGAGAAAGGGAAAAGACGAGTGAAATTAGGCGAAATGTAGGATATTTTATTCACATTTTATTTACTTTTTCCCTTTTCCTTTACAAATTTCTTCCCAAATTCCCCAACTAAACATAGGATTTTAGGTTGTGTTTCTTGCATTGTAACAATGTTTCCAGATTAGGACCTTTTGCTTAGGATTTGGCATATTTTTTGGGCTTTTTACAAGCCAGATCAATGTCAATCTAGTGAGTTCTGGATTCATTTTGAATCTGATCCTGAACAATACCACCTAAACCCACTTTTAGAAAATACTTGGGATCTAATTTTGGTTCGAATTAGTGTTTGTATAATTTCTCAAGTAATAAGAAGATTATCCTTTGTATATATGAATGCATATGCATGATGGATATTATGTCATTTAGTGTTCGTATAATTTCTAAAGTAATAATTAAATTTCAATGAATTATTTTTCTTGTTAGGTTTGACCTGGTGCAAGAGTGACCTCCATTTTGTACATCCAAAAGAATAAAAGTTGAGAAAAACCTGATTCTATAAAGCTAGAAGGTGTGTTGCCATTTGACTTGAAGGCAATGTGATCCATAATACAGCTACTTTTATGACTATTACTTCTTGTGACAGTCGATTTTATTATTATTAAACGAAATTAACAAATCAACAATTTCACTATAGTTGTATTATTATTCTCTCCCAAATCTTGATAAAGATAACAATTTGTTGTAGGAACTCATATGGTATCTTTGGCTGGCTTGGACCCTGAACAATTCTTCTGCTTGATAGACTATTGTTCCTCCAAGAATGAAACAATCCTCTTAGAAGCAATGGTGCTTGATCCATCCATATGACTTATGTTGCTAATGGCTTTGAAGAATTTGTATTGATACATATTCGATCAAACATATGCTATCTTTGTTGCATCGGTTCTCCATGTACTAATGGATAAGAATTCAATTGATCTGATTTGTTGCATTTCTTTCATTGTAATCTTTCTTTCAGTTTTTTTTTTTTTTTTTTTTTTTGTGAGGGAGCTCTCTCATATAACCAAAAGTTCTTCAATTTTATGTTGGATCCTAGATAATTAAGAAGTTAAATTGTGTTTCTTGCATTGTAACAATGTTTCCAGATTAGGACCTTTTGCTTAGGATTTGGCATATTTTTGGGCTTTTTACAAGCCAGATCAATGTCAATCTAGTGAGTTCTGGATTCATTTTGAATCTGATCCTGAACAATACCACCTAAACCCACTTTTTCAAAATACTTGGGATTAATTTTGGTTCGAATTAGTGTTTGTATAATTTCTCAAGTAATAAGAAGATTATCCTTTGTATATATAATGCATATGCATGATGATATTATGTCATTTAGTGTTCGTATAATTTCTAAAGTAATAATTAAATTTCAATGATTATTTTCTTGTTAGGTTTGACCTGGTGCAAGAGTGACCTCCATTTTGTACATCCAAAAGAATAAAAGTTGAGAAAAACTGATTCTATAAAGCTAGAAGGTGTGTTTGCCATTTGACTTGAAGGCAATGTGATCATAAACAGTACTTTTATGACTATTACTTCTTGTGACAGTCGATTTTATTATTATTAAACGAAATTAACAAATCAACAATTTACTATAGTTGTATTATTATTCTCTCCAAATCTTGATAAAGATAACAATTTGTTTAGGAACTCATATGGTTCTTTGCTGGCTTGGACCCTGAACAATTCTTCTGCTTGATAGATATTGTTCCTCCAAGAATGAAAACAATCCTCTTAGAAGCAATGGTGCTTGATCCATCCATTATGACTTATGTTGCTATGGCTTTGAAGAATTTGTATTGATACATATTCGATCAAACATATGTATCTTGTTGCATCGGTTCTCCATGTACTAAGGATAAGAATTCAAATTGATCTGATTTGTTGCATTTCTTTCATTGTAATCTTTCTTCAGTTTTTTTTTTTTTTTTTTTTTTTGGAGACATCTCTCATTATAACCAAAGTTTCTCAATTTTATGTTGGATCCCTAGATAATTAATGAAGGTAAATTGTACAATTGTTTTAACCTATGTATCGCGCTAATTTGTAAATATTAGAGTGCTGGACTGTGACACCCTAAAATATATTTACTTAATCTTTAAAAAATGTAATTATAACAATATTTTCTGGGCCATAGTAAAAATATAGAAAACTTGTGCATAGTTTTCAAAAACCTCATGGGAAGCGTTGGTGCCATATGGTACCACATGGTGTGCTACATAGTGCTGCATAGTAAGGGTCTTCCACCTATAAATAGGTAAGTTGCATAGTAATGAA